AGTCACCGTCCCTGGAAGCGTTCATAAACTGTGTAGATGAGGTCCTCAGTGACATGGTTTAGTGGTGGCCTTGGCAGTGCTGGGGGAATGGTTGGGCTTGGTGGTCTTGGTTGGACTTGATGATCTTAAAAGTCTTTTTGTACTGAGCTGATACTATGATTCTATGCTGACATACCTTGCACCACCTCTTGGAAAAATGCATAGGGATGCAAAAGGGATAAAACCCCTGCCCTCCCTTTCCTAGAGCAGCATCTAACACTTGATTTCATGCGAACTGGACAAAGAACACTTACTTGGCTTCAAGTTAGTTTCAGCTCCTGTTTTTTTTACCTTAAAGCTGCATCCAGTGTAGTAGCTCATACGTATTTGCAGAGCTTTTTCTGGCAGGAAGTTTTTTGTGATGTGAAGAACTGCAAAGACTTGCCCCAGAATTGGTTACTACTGAGTAGTAACTAACAGGACAGAAGAAGGATGTGAATTTAATAAAGTCTGAGTGAAGCTTTCTTTAATTTAATCTCTACAAATAATATGCATAAAGGAGGTAGTGCAGCCGTATAAATCTGGCAAAGATGAAGGATGAAGTGTTAACAGGCAGAGTCTGGATAAAAATGGTAAAACTAAGAATGCATTTTAGGCTGAGAAACTGCAAAACTGAAATGAAACTTGAACAGTGAATAGGAGCATCAAGTCTTCAGATGGAAAACTTGAGGGAGGGTTGGTTGATGATAACAGACTAAGAAGAAACAAATAAGAATATGGGATATTTTGCTGTGGGTTGGTTTTTTGGTGTTTTTTTTTTTTGTTTTTTTTTTTTTTTTTACTTTGTCTTCAAGAAACCCTACTTGAGATTTCTGTGTGCCATTTGAAATAGAGGATTTTCCCATTTAAAGGTAATCATTTTTGCTGTCTTTTATAGAATCATATAGTAGTTTGGGTTAGAAAGGACCTTAAGATCATCCAGTTCCAACCCCCTGCCATGGGCAGGGACTCCTCACTCTAGACCATGTCACCCAGGGCTCTTTCCAGTCTGTCCTTGAACACTGCCAGGGATGGAGCATTTACCACTTATTTGGGCAATCTGTTTCAGTGCCTCACCGTCCTCACAGTAAAATGGTAACAGAGCTCACATTCTCAGGAGGTGGTAGCAAGAATTGGTACCGTGTGAAGGGTACTAAGGCAGTGACTGAATTGGTAGGAGGGAGTGCTGACCACGACTCCTGGAAGTTTTCCATTCCTCCTGTGGGTTTTATCGAAGCAGCAAGGCGTGTCTGAGCAGAGCTTTGAGTGAAGTGGATATGGCATTTGATGACTGTTTTTCCTGTGCACCGTAACCTTTTCTGGATGGAAATAGAGAGGTCTGTGCTGCAGCTATTGTCAACACCTACATTTGTACTATGTTGCTGAAAAACACTTCTACTGCCCTTCAGCACTTTCTCCTGCATTCCCTCCTCCTTTACCTACTGGATTCCTAAGTAACAATGGCAGCATACTGTGACAGCAGAATCTTTTAGTGGAACAACAGAGCTTCATAGTATTTGCTTTTCCCATGTGTGAAAAGGAAATATGTAAATAAAAGGATTTGGTTGAACAATGTGACATGCTTCCAAACATAATAGCAGCTGCCTCCTTCCAGATGGTATATTCACCATCTGCTACCTCTTTGCAAAGAGCCTGTGCCTTGCATGAACCTTGTGGGGCATCCATGTTGGGGGCCAAAAGTCCTGTTGCTGTACCATGACCTTGCTAAAGGGTTGCAGTGTAGTTACATTCCTGCCCACAGTAGAAAGTGCTGGTTGGTGTGACTGGGTGTCTAGTACCCAGCACCTTCCATGCATTGGAAGAAAATTAAGGAGCTCTTGTTTGCAGGCTGGAGGTAACAGCTCTAACTGCCATGCAGCTCATTTCATGAGGTTCATGGCTTGTGGCAGTAGCACGTTAAACTTGAAGCTGTCACAGTTACAAAATGAAGAGGGAAGACTAGTTTCTTGTGGTGTGTTTTTGCAGAAGCACTAAACTCTATCTTCATTGAGATACCTGATTGAGGAATAAAGCCAGAGGATCTGGGATTTATTTTATTTCAGAATTTATGATAGCCTGGTCCTATCCTTCTGAGTGTTCTGCACTCTTTATTTGCTGATGAAATTACAAGTAGGGCAGGTTCTGTAGTTTAGTTATTTCTGCTGTATTTCCTTTGGATAGCATTGAGTATTGATGTATCTTCCTTTAATGTTGATAATACAACTTAAGTGATAGTAACTTTTTTCACTACTATGAATTTGTGCTTAGTACGTTAGCCAGTATTCACAGGAAGATTGATCTATGGATGCATTTCAAAGCAATAAAATCTCACAACCTTTGAACAGAAGTATTAAAAAAAGCAAAAAATGATGCCAGTCCTTAATTGAGCACTTGGTTTCCTTAAATCAGATTAAGTACTGTAAAAGAGTCTTTACTGTTTGCTATCAAATTAGTTAGTGATATAAAGTTGCACAATGCTTCTTAATGTAATGTGGAAGACAGGTGAGGTGATAGCTGGATGAAATATAAGACGTGCTTTTCTAAAAAGTGAAGTCTTTCAACACCCTTAGGCTGTGACTTGCTTGAATAAAGTGGTTCTATCTAGTAATGAAATTCTGCTCTCTGGGGAAACGCAGGGTTTTTTCCTCTACAAGCGTTTTGCATACTCAAATGGTGTCTTAAAAGTTTGTACTTAAGGGTGTATCTGGTTTATTTAAAGATGTATTCTACCTTTAGAGGCTTCCTGAGGATATCACTTCCACTGTTGTCTGCTATCATTGCTCAATATTGATGGCTTCACTGCCGTTTGTATCTTCACATCAGTTGGTTGTTAAATTCAGTACTAATACTTATTTCTGTAGTGGTACAGAGTAATTTGGGCATTACATTAATGTGTGAAACCTGTAAAATACAGTATGTTTTCTGTCAGCTGTTGATATTTCAAATGTGCTCAGTGACACTGAATTTAGTTGCATTCAGCAGTTAACTAGGTATTTTTTATTTCAGAAAACAAACCTTTTCTGAAATCGAGGAGCAAATAATTTTTAACCCTGCTTCAGCTTTACCAGGCAGTAAATGTCTTCTGTTAGGCTTGATATAAAACGGTTGAGTGGGAGAGCATCCCATCTGTCTGTCTGTCTGTCTATCTATTTGTCCATCTACCTATTTATCTCCTGTTCACTGTTAGCGCAAGTGATCTGCAATCTGTGGGATATTCCAATATATAGTGTTGTCACTGGCAAGGAGGATGTCCTCTTTGTTCAAAGCTTCTGGTCTTAAAATTGGAGCACCCAAGTTTGTGCTATCTTTGTAAGAAATCCCTTACAGGAAATTTGAATGTTTTGTTTCGAGCAATCTGCCTGTTTTCTTGGTATATTTTTTATTAGTAATTTGCATTCTTAATAACAGTCCCACCTTCCCCATTTCGAAAGCGTGCCTTTGTCAGTGTAATGCAACACATCTCTCAATAGAGTTAAAATTATTTGTCTCAAATGTGTCATAAATAGGAGCAAAGAAGTGCTCAGTGAAACTATTGTTGGTTTAAAATAGGCTTTGTGGAATGTTGGCTTCAACAAATTTCATGATCAGGAAAGTTTCTGGAATGTTATGGGGCAGGATCTCACCAACTTCCCTGGGCACACAGCAGCTTCGAGTTGTGTGTTGTACAGACACAGTAATGCTTTTTCTGGTTTAACTTGTTTTGATCAGTATGAGTAGGAGAAGCAAAGGAGAGCCACACTAGCAAGCACAGAGCTTTGCTAGGGTAAACAGTATCTTTGCTAGTGCTGCTTTTGCTATTATGAATGACACTTACCGGTTTGGTCTACCTCATTTTCATTCTCATAAAAGCTCTCAGAGCTTTTGCTTTCATTTTGTAAATAAATAAATGTTTCTGGTCAGATTTTATCAACGGCCTGCCTCTTCAGTTTTTTGGAACTGTAATCTTGTGCAGTTTTTTGTATTCTTAGGTATTAGTTCAAAAGGCCATGTACATCTCTCTTCCAAAATGCATTTTTTTGTGACTCTTGCAAGACATATGTGAACTGTCAGAACTAAAAAGCAAATGGTGTGAAGTGGTAATGGATTTAAATTGTCAGTGGCTGATGTTTTCTTGAGTGTAGAAATTAAAGGTTGAATTAATCATGGTTAGTTGATGGATGCAGAGCCAATAAGTTACTACAGTATGTAGTTCTGGAACATGCTGTGGCTATGTGAGGGTGATGAGAGCAATGCTTGGCTTTATATCCGAATGGTGCTCACATTGAGGTTCTTTTGGTCTTTTTTCGTTTTTTTCATAAACCTAATACTTTATCTTTTGGAGTAGAATGAGTGTTCTGATAAAAGCTGTGTATATAAGCTGAGGTAAGGCAAATGAATGCTTAGGAAGGTAACAGCCTAATCTTTACTTCAGACTGAAGTGTTCCTTTATCATGTTTTGCAGTCTGTGGTTTGCCACACATCTGTACTTGCTTTTAATTGACATTGTGATTAGGAAGGACTGTTTTGGGCCTGGATGGTGGTTTGGTCACTCCAGTTTAGTACAGACTTTGCTACAGTAGCATCTGTGTAAGCCCAGAAACAGGTTGTTACAATTCATTTCTCAGTTTATGCTTTTGGAAAATTCAGCCTGTGTAGGCTTAAAATCCAAGTCTTCCAAGTCAGATCGCTCACCTCTGGTTCCCTTTATTTAAGATAAGCAAATTAGGGAGGAGAGAAAATCTGTTGGTATCTGAATTGAGAATCCACCTGTGGGGTGGTACATTGGCAGAAACAATGTTATTGGAAAAACTATGCTGTCTTAAAAATACTGTTCATTGGAAATATGTAAACTGTGAGGCTGAACATGTAAAGATGTGGTAACTTTGAAACAAAGCTTTACATTGGTTCTGACTGAAAGCTTTTGTTAGTTTCATAGGTCTATTCTGTGAGAATATACAAAAACCTGGAGTTTTAAGGACATCCATTGTTACTCTCTTTTTCAGGTGGTATCATGGAAAACTTGACAGAACAATTGCAGAAGAACGTCTTCGGCAAGCGGGAAAACCTGGAAGTTACCTTATTCGAGAGAGTGATCGGAGACCAGGTTCATTTGTGCTTTCATTCCTTAGTAAAACAAATGTCAATCATTTTAGGTGAGAATTAAATGTTTTCTTTTAAAATACTGTAATCTACTTTTGGGTTTAGAACACAATAAAGTACAAACAGGAAATAATAATTGTATTATAATTGAATATACTTAATTCTATCGTTGCATGGTACAGCTTTTTACTCCTGTTTAGTTGTTTCAAGATATGCTGTTTAAAAATTATAGGCTAAAGAATAAAAATGTGAGGAAACTCAACAACATCTGGCTATAGAAGTGTATTCACAGAGGTTGTGAATACACTTATAATAACTTGTACGTTTCATTAGTTAGTCAAGGAGGTTGTTTGGAGACTGTTCTGTAGTAGCCATTGTAGCTCACAAGACTTACTTAAGTGCTGGCACATGTGATTGCTTCCTTAATTTTGAGGGAAACCCCTGCCAGAAACCAAAGCCCTTAAAACCCAAGAAGGAATAAGGAGAATTATGTATTTATTCATCTGAAGGTTTGCTGGAAACAGCACTCAGTATGTGCTAAAATTAGTTCTTCTAAAGTCAAGTAGCTCTTTATCCGGTGTTCTAACTAGGATTATTTTATCATTTCAAACTGTACATTAGTAAGTTCATTTATTCTTAGTGAAAATGAGGTGCATTCCCAGAAGAGCTTTAAAGTTAGTCAGCAAATGGATGTGATGTTCATCTTTACAAAGCAGGAAGCAGATGTTTTTTCAGCAGTGAAAGAAATCTTTTTCAGTTGCCTTGAGAGCAACAAACAAATTGAAGGAATTTCTTCAACTTCTGAATGTGGGAATTACACAGAATACCGACATATGACCCACAGTGTTCATGGTTTACAAATGTAGGGAGTTTTTGGTTGCATCTGCTGTGTGAAGAAGTGTGGTTCAGAGGTCCTGATATACCACTGATATGAAAGGAATAATCCTCTTAAGTGCAAACAATACAGCACACAAATAGTACCTTGTTAGCATCTTGCCATCTGAGCTGTCAGTTTCAGCTTCTGAACCGTACTTACACTCCTTGGGGAACAGGTTACTATGTAGCTTTAGCAGAAAAGTAAACTGTGCTAATACTTGCTTTTTAGTGCTGTTTTAGAGTCCTGGATTAGTTTTAATAACTTCCATTGCTAAAAAATGTCCCTTGTATTTTGTTCCCTAAAATTCTTATTTTTCGCATGAAACTTTTATTAGATTTTTGTGCAGCTGAAATCCCAACATTTTAGATGGAAGTGTCTTAAACTCTTTTAACAGTTTTGATGCCTCTTGAAAGTTGCATACAGACATATATGCTCATGCAGCATATGATTGATTTACAGCATATGAACCTTCAAAACTAAATCTTTTTTTCACTGAAGTGTTACCTTTTCAGTGAGTCAGTGATAGAAAGGATTTTCAGTGAAGATAACTAACTTTCAATCTTTTCCTTCAGAATTTTTTGTGATTATGGAAGTCCTCCTGTATTTGCTAGCTTAGTGTTCTGAAGAAGGGTTTAATTTAAGATTGATGAGAAAATAATCTGAAACACTACATTTCATTTTGAACCTAATCTCTATTGAATAATTTAGCAGGAAATCTTACAGAAAATATCTCAAAAGGTGTAGCCTATGCCTTTAAAGTTACATTGTTTTCTGACTCCCCTTGCAGTGCTATATGCTTAAAAGCTTTAGATTTCATGTCTGAAGATTTATCTTGTAAACATCTTACATCACTGTTTGGAAAAAATAATTAAGTTCAAAGAACTGAGAAGGAAGATTTAAGTAGCGTAGTCATTTGGGATGAAGAATAAGTTTTTTGGTAATTTAATGTTTGGAGTTTCCCCTCCTCCTTTTGTTTTTGAGTTGTTCACAAGCATTGTGAAGAGAACACGAAGAAGAGTCAAATATGTTTATTTTTGGTAATGTATTTTGAAATATCCTTAAGATAGTGACTGTCTCTTCTGGAAACTGGTGGGACAATTAACATCAGCTTTTAGATTTTCTTTTTTTTTTTTTACTTTTTCCTAACACCAAAATTGGCTTAGTTTGGTAGTAATTTGTTTCTTAATTTCTTATGTTTTTGTAAGAATGGACTCCTGTCTGATGTCTGTCTTCTGGAAAAATTTAGGTCTGCTTGATACCATCAGTTTACATAATGTGATCATTTCTTTGGACTGTCTCATCAAAGATATTAAACTTGTTTCAGATTAAGTACTTCACTTTTACGAATGACTCTTAAGTGTTAACAGGAATGTTCTAAAAACCGTTAACTCTTTTACCTAAGTAAGTAATTCCTAGCTGCTTTCAGAATTTGTGTTGACTAGCAATGTGAACAGACTTGGTACTTCATGTTTTTGCTATGACAGTGCATTAACAAGTCTCTGTATTTTTAAGAGAAACACAACCCTTAAAGAATAAAATGAAGTGTTTTACAAGAATTCAGTGTTGTGTTAAACTACTGAAATGGTTTTGTAAGCTTTTTTCTTCCCCACTAGCAACTGGGTATAAGAGAAATTACAGTGTAATTTCTTAACTTGTAATATGCGTGCTAAACGAACTGTAAGAAAGTGACTGATTTTTGAAGTTGATTGTTTCGTGCACTGTATAATCATGTGCCATTACTTGCTGTTACAATATTATAATGCTTCGCAGAATTTATATACGCCTGTTCTGAAAGGTATATGCCTTGCAATGTAGTGAGATATTATCTTACGTCAAGCTGGTTTTTTTCATTAACAGGATTATTGCCATGTGTGGAGACTATTACATTGGTGGACGTCGTTTTGCTTCACTTTCCGACCTAATCGGTTATTACAGTCATGTGTCCTGTTTGCTGAAGGGCGAAAAGCTTTTATTTCCAGTAGCACCTCCAGAGGCAAGTACCAGAACTTCTATAGTAAGATTTCTAAGTGCCATTTACTTCTTTGTTAGTAACTTTTATCACCATTCACTTTTTTTTTTTTTTTTTTTGTTTCTTTTTAAAATCTCTATAGAAAGTTTACTGAAGTTCTGCATAGGCTCAGCATATGATGAATGTAGGAATGCATTCTTACTGGTACAAAGTAATGTTTAAAAACCTCCAAACTGCTATTTAATGAAAATGTGTAATGAGAGAGCTAGGTGCCAGGTGTTGCATTTATCTCCAAATGTAGTAATAGCTTTGGGAGTAAACAGAGGTAAACAAGAAAATGTGCAGTTCTTGGTTAGTAAAGAACACCATGTAATGGAACTTCTATTATTTTGAGATATTTTGTCTATGTAACAGGATTTTGAAGCACACATCCTGAAAGTAACTGGTTTCTGAAAATGGGGCTTCTTCCACATGCCCATCCTTGAAACAATAGAAGTAATTAAAGTAAAGCAAAATGCTGCATAATGCCCCCCTGCCAAACAGAATCTAAACAAACATGTTTCTGGATGTTAAACTTATGGAAATTTCCATTCTTTAAGTGGAAGAAAGTTTGAAAATATGCTTTTACGGGAATTATCATACTAGTAGTTTATTTGGAAGATGACAAGCATACATTATCTATCATGCTAGAAGATGAAACAAAATGACAACTTTTGTAGCTAACTGTATGAATTATACTTTTCTAGCTCTCAGGGATTTTGAGCTTTGAGTATTTAAAATGGGCAAGGGGGGTATAAGTGACAAAAGTGGTCTTTTGACTCAGAATAGTGTAACACTGGGAAGAAGGATTTTACACTAGAAAGAGGGAAAAGTATTACCTTTGCTGTCTTCTCTTAAACTGTAGCCTGTGGAGGATAGAAGGAGAGTTCGAGCAATTTTACCTTACACCAAAGTGCCAGAAACTGATGAAATAAGGTAAGTTTTAATGACAGTAGCAGTTGTGGAATTTTCAGGAGTATTTATTAATACTAATGATTTAAGTATGTGTTCATATACAAATTCTGTCCAGTTGCATCTTAAACTTAACACAGCTTAAAGGATGATAGTTTTTTCCTGTTGGAAATAGCAATTAACACTTTCAGGGCATTTGTTCCTATCAATTGTCAGGAAATTACATTAGGTTTATTGAATTAAAATTAGTAGTGTTCTAGTTTTGAAGTATGCTTTATAAAGCCCTACATTTTTTTCCAAAAGGGTAAATTTGTTTATGAAAGAATCATGTGCAGAAATGCCTCGTGTGACAATGTGAAATAAATGAGTGAGGCTTTCATTCATACTGCCACAGAACTAACAGCAAATAAATAGTTCAAGCCATACGATTTCTGACCACTAGAGAAGGTGGTCAGAGAACGTGAGCACTGACTACTCGTAAATGAAAAAACAGAATAATTAGTGCCTTCTTTGAAATAAGAAAAAAGGAGCAATGTTAAGAAGCTTTGCCTGGTTCAGTGTTCTAGTGTTCATTTTCTTACCTGTGCTTAGAAACTTGGTGACTGTTCTGTCTAAGTTCTCTTCTCTGTTCATAAAATGGAGCAAGAATGATTTTCCCTTCCCTTGCGTTCACATCCTTCCTTCCTTTTGGAGAAAATCTGTATTGAAAGAAAAAGTGATAATTTTAAGTATGTAATCTCCAACAATTCTAAGATCTGAAAAAATTACTGAATTGCAGGTTTATCTCTCATATTCTCACTCTTTCTGTTAATGAGACAGCCTTGGTTTGATTTAAAACATTGATTGAATTGGGAATGGGCTTGGTTTTGGCAATATTAGCCTAAGATATAGAGAAAGATATATGAGAGCTTTATATCCTTACTGGGATGGAAATTATTCCAAGGCTTACTGTCCAAGCCTATCTAAACTCTTTAAAGGATGCTGGGAGCATATTTGTCTTTGAGATTGATTTCCTAAGCAGATTAGAAGGTGGTAAGACAGGGAAAGGACTCTCAATTGCATATTGCAAGTAAGGCTTCCTGCTACGTGTAAGACAAAAAGATTGAGACCATTAAGTGCCTTATTGTACCTACCAACTTGAGAGAAAGAAGCATTTTATTACAGTGCTATCATGACAGAAATTGTAGAAAATTACAACTTCTCTCCCTTGTTTAGGATGCCGCTAAAATACAAAGTTCTGTGCTTGGGGTTTGAGATTCACATGGCTAAAACAGTTACAGTTCTGTTTGTGGCATAGCTGGGACATGTTAATGCTTCTTATTTGTGCTTTTCTTGTAGCTGATTGCATGGCTTCTTTGATAGCTGTTCTTTACGCTCTTTGTAGCACTATTCTTCATATGTGAGAACGTAAAGAGTATTATGTTCTGAGGTATTCCACAGACTTTTATTATAAGATACTAATTTTCATGAAAGGAGTATTATTTTCTTATAGACTATTAAGGGTATCTGGCTGTTTTGCTTGTGTTTGTTAATTGATCCCTCCTGATAAGAGAATGATATTACCATCTTTTAATATTGTTATTTTTGTTTCATGCATCCTCAGCACACTTTGAATTTGGTGGAACTGAAGTATGTATTAGATACTAAACATAAATCAAAAGTATAAACAACTCATACATAGTAACAGCTTAACTGTGAGGAAAAATACACATCATATGCTGGGGGGTATTAATTCATGCATTTTCACAAGCAGATTTTCTCAGATATTTTGTGGAAATTACAGTCAAGAATTCATTGTGTTCATTAAACTTTATACTATGATTGTATGTCTGATTTAAATCTTGCTGTAACCCTCTTCAGTTTCCTTAAAGGAGACATGTTTATTGTCCATAACGAATTGGAAGACGGCTGGATGTGGGTTACAAACCTACGGACAGATGAGCAAGGTCTTATTGTGGAAGACCTGGTAGAAGAAGTGGTAAGTAATTTTTATGTTTAAATTTCTTAAATGACTCAGATTTTTTGGTAAAATAATATTTAAATAAACGCAAACTAGTGACAGTTAATTACCAGTTTTTTAGTTACATACTTTTCTAAACCTAGTAATTGGATCTGCTTAAAATAGCGTAACAAACCTGTGAGCCTAATTCAGTATCAAAAAAGCCTATTCACGTGTTGTCCACGGAGAAGTACAAATGAATGATACAGTAAATTCACTAGGCAGTTTCCTAAGCTTGACTGTCCTGGTGAAGGATCTGCTACTCATTTAATTGCATTTCTTCATATTTGCCAGAATAATTTTGCATTGTGATAAGTATTTCTCTTTTTTTCTTAAGGATGAATTGTGGGTTAAAAATGTATTGATGAGTTAATTATACCTAGAAGGGCTTGTGTGGGTTTAGGAAGCTAACCAGATGACCTGCAGATAATTCAGTTGCTGTAGGGGAACAGGTGGTTTAATATACTTCAGAAGGAGAAAACAGCATTGGTTTGGAGTCAGTTATTTTTGATAATATTTTCCTGCACAGTACCTGTGTTTTGCAGTGTTAAAGCAGTGTTATGTGCAGTTAATAACAGATCTGTGTCAAGCTGTGAAAGGCTAAACTGACGTGGCAATACTAGGCTATTGAACTGTAGTCTGATATATCAGTGGTTTAGTTAACCTTAAGAAAGCTGAGATTTTAAAAAGTTACCACCTCTAAAGAAGGACGTGAAACATGACAAAACCAGTCCTCTGAAATAACACATTTTGGCTGAATTTCCACTTACTGAAGAGGAAAACTTCTTTTCATAGAACTGCAATAAGCCCTTTAGTTCAAAAATGTCTCAGGCTTCTTATGTTTTTTTTCTACATAAGGTCTTAACCTGTAAAGTTGGTTTTTTTTGACTCGGCTGTACTGTTGTCATGCACTTAATATGTTAATTTTCTCATTAGGGAAGAGAAGAAGATCCACATGAAGGCAAAATGTAAGGATTTTGGTTTTGTTATTAAAAGCAATCATAACTGTTTGTAAACTTCAGCTATGAAATTTCCCAACTTTTGGGAAGGTGAACCAAAGACATTTATTTTTTTTCATCTCAAGACTTTATTCTTTACTAACTGCTGAAGATGCACCAATAATTAACATTAAGAAGTCCTGTAATAGGTATGCCTATTGCTAATGTGTTTTGCAGTGTTAGTATTCTAGATAAGTCCCTGTATGATCACTTTCAGCCAAAATATGCTCAATGGAGTATTTGTTGAATATAGTGTTTGCCTTAGAGGTAAGCGTTACTGAGATTTGCAGAACTCCGAATGCTGGGGAGAGAGCAGAGTGCCACTGGAAAAATTATAATGGGATAGTTACAGCTAGTTTTTTAATATTGAATACAATTTTAAAAAAATGAATAAAGAAACTAATATTAATTTTTTTATATTGAATACAGTTTAGAATCAACAATGTATTTATTGATAATGTGTTGATAGATATTTTCAGTAGTAATTTTGAGTGGCAAAAGAAGGTTCAAAAAACTTCTAGTGGCTTTATTATTTCATCTGTCCTCCTATTTCCTTGCCGTATTTTCACCTGATGCTTTCTTCGTTGCCCAATTCGTGGTATCCAAGAGGCTGATGGCTGAAAGAGGCATTTCTCACTATCTTAATAGGAGAAAAAAGTTCACTGGTGTGTTTGTTGTTTGTGCACTGTTTGCTAGTGATCTGCTAGTCAATTTGGCAGTAGGGATGCTTACAAATGTAGGTGTTTTTATTTATTTGCAAATTAGTTTGTAACAGATGCTTGGAGCTTTGATACTGTCTGTCCACAGTTATTTGTGCCACTCAGAGGAATCTCATGGAGACCATAATTCTTTGAAGCATTCCAATAGCCAGAAGTTACCTTATAATGGTAGTATAGAAAGTGAAATTAGATCTAGAGCTCTTCTCTAATACATAAAAAGGCCATATTTTTAGCTTTCCTCTAAAGGACAGAACAACCTATTAAGTCAAGTTGTTATGTATAGTTGTGTCAGGCTGAAACTGACAGAGGCTGGTGAACCTTTCTGCTTAACCTTTGTAGGACACTGCTCTGATACAGGACTCTGGGAAGGTATAAGGTGTGAGATCAAACGGATTTGTATTTAACAGTCTAACAAATCTAGGTTCTGTTTCTACAGCTGCTGTCAAAATTCAGTTAGATTTTATTTCTATATGGTCTTTAACCTCCTTGTTTGAGCTTTGGATTTTATGGTTCAAGTAAATTGCTGTATGAGACTGACTTCAAATAATGTTTGTCAAATTATCTGCTGTTTAGACAGTTCATTTTAATCTCTAAACACAGTTGGATTTGAATGTCAAGTCCAAGTGTTGGCCATTTTTATTGAAGTTAATTTATTTACATACCTGTTACTGTTAGGTTTTTTCATGCTGCTGGTAGAACAGAATCATTAAGTAGCATAATCATTATCTCATCAATATGTATTAGGTCTTTTTAAATAAAGATTAATTCATTGGTGTCAGAGCCTTGGATGTCACCACAAGAAAAAAAAAAAGAAAAAAAGAGCTGGTAGTCTTGCTTTCTAATTTTTCTCTTCATCTTTCTTAAGATGGTTCCATGGGAAGATCTCCAAACAAGAGGCTTACAATTTGCTGATGACAGGTACTTGTATTTCTGTTTGAAATACTGTAGTAGTAGTGGATTCTTTAACTTACTGCTGTCTTCATCAAAATGTTATGCTTTTATATACTAAAAGGAAATATATTACAAACCATTTTAACCCTTTCATAGAAGAACTATTTCGTTAAATAAAAATGTGAAAAAAAAAGATTTGGCTAGGTCATCACCTACAGATAAACCAGTTTGCATTAATTTCACCAGATCAGTGCTAGTTCATAGAGTTTGACATTAATTACTCTTGTGACTTAACTTGTAGACTTTGTATTTCTTTAAGTGTGCAATTCTTGTTAATTTATGTGGAAATAGATTTGATAAGGGCTCATGTATAACTTCACTAAGAAAAGTAACACTATTATGATATCTTCTCAGTTGGTCAGGTGTGCAGTTTTCTTGTGAGGCCTTCAGATAATACACCTGGTGATTATTCACTTTATTTTCGGACCAGTGAAAATATTCAGCGTTTTAAAATATGTCCAACATCAAACAATCAGTTTATGATGGGAGGCAGATACTACAATAGGTAAGTTTTGATAATGAAAGGAATTGTATTTTATACTTGCATAAAGAATTTGTATAACTTGCTTCTGATAATTATTTCCTGCTATGATTTGAAGACTGTAGTTTTCTTAATAGTATACTAACCATGTTCTCTAACTTGCTTGGTAATTACTTGTAACTGAGCAAGTTCTTGAAGCTTGTGGAAGCCTGATTATAGTTTGTTTATTTTGAAGTATTTTTCTTTGTTCTGCAAACCATTTTCTTCATGCTATAAACTCTGGATTGTATGGATCATGTGAATCCATTAATTGTGGATCTGTAAGAGAGTGCTGTGTTGTCTTGGAAACTACTGTTTGTATTAATTATTTGAAAAGGGAAAATAAAATTAACATCTTTATGTGAGACGTTAAGGTTTTCAAATAATAAAAATGGGTATTTACAAGAAAGGGTTAAAAATACCATCATTGGGAAAAGTCATTAAATTGTATTGTAATATATGTGTTGTACTTGGGTCAGAAGTACAGATCACTTTGTTTAGAGTGAGCAAACTTGGGATACATTTGTTTTGCCGTTGGTACAAAAATACAGAAATTTGTACAAAAAAGAAAAAGAAATAATGAGAGAGACGTTTCCCCTTCTGTGGGAGAAGCTATCGGTACAGATCAGTCCTTGATCTTGTTTTTAGAGGAGTTGCAGATGCAAGACTTCTCAGTGGTGAAAACTTGCCTTCGTCTTTTAACAGAGGCCATTGCCTTGCCTCACAAAATCAGCACTTTTCCAGACTTGCTCACCTAGAACCAGGGCATTCATCATCCCAATAGAGAATTTCTCTCGCTTCCAGCTTGGCTTCTGAGTGGGTAGAGATCCAGCAGCTGGTGTGTCTGAGGAAATGTCAAGGTCTCGTAACTAAGAAGTTCAGTGGACTTTTTCATATGACTTCAAATGGACGATGGTGTGAGGCTAAACAATTGGACCCTTATGAAGCTTTGCATACCCCACACCCATGCTGCTTGAATACCTTCTACATTAATCAGTCTGGCCTCCAGACATCCTCATTGAAAACCAAGCTAGCTGCAGTGTCAGCCTTACGTTAAGGTAAATGCTCTTTTGCCCATTCTCTAGCTATGTGGCTTATCAGGAGGCTGATAGGTAGGAGACCCCACCTGAGGTGATGTCAAACTAATTAGCAAATCAGTGGAACTCTTACTAGTTTCAAATGGTTTTGCCACCTTAAATAGTATACCTTCAGAAAGTTATTACATTAACTTATTACTTTAGAGTACAGTGCTGGATTCTTGTGGGGCATGTATAAAAATTATGTTTATCTGAAGAAGATTCTTTCTATGGTATGGAAAACAAGATTGTAAGGTTAAGTAGCACTAAGTTATGACAAAAAGTCTTTTAGATTTTTTTTTCTTTTCCCCCTTAACATTTTGGTACCTAGCTTGCAGATATCTTCCTCAGTGTGAAGCAGAATCTGCATAGCTGTAAAAGGCTTAATTTTTGTTGTGTGTTTTTAAGAATTACTACTATACTCTTAGGCTCAAATTCACTCCAGCTTAGTATATGCTGCAGTTTGGTAAACTTTCTGGAAACTCGAACACATAATGAAGTATGCAAGATAATGAATAGCAAGATAATAAGGCATCAAAATGAAAATGCTAACTGTCCAAATTCTGTAACGTAAGATCTACTGTAGAGGGTAATAAATTAGGAGCAGAAAAAGAGCAAATCACTTTGTGGACTTTTCAGTTGTCGTATTAGTTCATTTAATAGGGACACTGTAAGAAAGAAATCTTTAAATATGTGATCACTAATGTGGTTTTGTTGTATGGAATAAATGGAAGTGGTGGCTGAAAAACAACAAACACAGAATTGAATCCAGAACAGACACATACAAAGCATGAATTTATGCAAGCTAATGAAACTAGAATTATTTCTTGGTGCTTATAAGAGATCGGTTTTTGTTACTTATCTAAAAATCTACTGTTTGCCTTCCAGGTGAAAAATTCACATTTAAAAAATGGTGCTGCTTTTCTAAAGGCATCTGTTTAACAGTTTCCATTAACTATGAGCTTTTTTTTTATGTTAAGCTGCTTCCATAAATACTGTCAAAGTATCTCCTTTGACATCTGGTACTATTATTAGATTAAATCATCATTGGTAGTAGAGTATTTTCAACATTCTCCTACAGTTTTTGTGATTCTAATTGGGGCAAAAGGTAAAATAAAAGCAATCTGCTCTTTATTTTGCAGGGGATTGGTCTCAATAAATTGTAGACCAAGATTTTCCATACAAAAGTAGGAATCTGAAGAATAGGAAGGAAATACAAAATGAAAGAAGTTTGTTTTTATTTCTTGGGTATTTGGAATATGCAGAGGTGGGACTGGAATCATGATAACCTATATAAGCAATGGTATATCTGCTTGTATCCCAGAATTATTCTGGATGACCATGGGGAAAGAGGCCCTGGGTATATCTCAGGGTCTCATATTCTGTGCTGCCTAGCAAGACTTTTTTTTCCACCAACCTGTGACTTCTGCATGCGTTGCCACCACTAGGTAAATCTCTGTGTAAATCTCTGTTAAAATTTCTGTGTGACCATCAGGCTGTGTTTGCAGTCTGTCATACAGAGGTCTGCTTTCATTATTTCACTCTCTTGTATCAGCTCTGCAGGGCTGCCCACCTGAAGGTCTGAATGTACAGCACCTATGTTGCAGATGTATTGGGGGGATTATTTTGACTATGTACCTAAGAAGTATTTTCCCATGGAATTTAGCAGAACGTTTAGCTTCTCTGATCTTTCTGTATTTATTCCACAGATAACAAATTACTCAATCACCTTTTTACAATTTTATGGAAAAATTGGCAAAGCCATTTCTTGTTGCTTGTACTGATTCTGGATGGGGTGGAGTAAATTTTCTTTATAGCAGCTAGCATGTGCCATGATTCAGGTTTGTGGCTAAAACTGTTGATAACACACCAGTGTTATGGTTCTTGGTAAGCAGAGCTTGCACAATGTTGAGGCTTTCTCTGTTTTCCAGAGAACCTAACTGACCAAAGAGGTAATGCTCAGCAGTAAAATTGGAGGGGATATTTCATCTTCCAACGTGGGTGTTGCTCAGACTGGGCATCAGTCTGCTTTTCAATCCCTGGTGTCCTTCCCCACCCTTCACTTACTAAACTGTCTTTATCTTGACACACAGGTTTTGTCACATTTGCTTTTCCTGCTTTCTTCCCTGTCCTGAGGGCAAGGAATGAGCAAGCACTGCAGGATGTTCAGCTGCTGGCCGGGGCCAGCCCTCCACAGGCTTCTTCATATCCTCCTCCTTTTCTTGAGCTTAAATTGCTGAGCTTGACATTCTGTGGAGAAGAATATCCCTTTGGCTGATTCAGCCCAGCTGTCCTGCTGTGTCCACTCATAGCTCCTTGCCCACCCCATCCACTGCAAGTATAGCTCAGCAGTAGTCAAAACATTGATGTGCTGTCCACAAGGTGTTTCAGTCACACATCTAAAATGCAGCACTGCATGGGCCGCTATGAAGAAAACTAACTCCATCCGAGGCAGATCTTGTACAGTTGTGATTTTAGTGCCTGTATCTTGAGATCTCAGTGCAAAGATGTGCTATTGCTGGTCTATGGCTTTTACTTTGAGGGTGATAGAGCACTGGGAAAAGTTACCTGAAAGGTATGGGAGACTTCATTTTTGGAGATGTCCAGGATGTGACTGAGCAAGGGTTGCAGCAGCCAGCCATCATTGACTCTGCTTTGAGCTGAGGGCTTGGGCTAGGTGGTCTCTGTGTTCAACTGTCCTGTCAGCAACTTCCTTGTGTGTTTCAGAGTGGGTTTTGTGTAAGATAGTATTTATTAATGTTTCAGTCATGATTTTAGAACATGCGGTAGGAAAAGCATACCAGGTCATTTCTCTGTCCTTTTCTTCTCTCTGCCTGCCTTCTGCAGGTAGCATTCGCAAAAAGCTAAAATTAGGACTGGTTCTTTATTTCTAGTGATTCTACCAAGGAAATGATACACATTGGCGTAATATTTTACAGAGCGGACAAGCTTTCAAGTTAATCTTGGATTTGAGAGACAGCTCTATTTGAAAATTCAGTAGATGATTGGAGGATGTTGCTTGGTTCTGTTTCCTGGATTCTTTCTTATTTGAAATCTGAGCTGTGGGAATAATTCTCAGTGCACTCTTCAGGTGTTAAAAAACTGATACAGCTCATGAACGTGAAATACTTAAAAATCAATCAAGTATCCAAGACCTGGGAAACCTAAGAAGCCAAACCTAATAGTGTGCTGAGCATTCTAAAGTTACTAAAGTAACTGTAATGTGGTATTGAGATCCATCTTTATTTCTGTTGATATCCATCTTTATTTCTGTATATTAAACAAAGTTTACCTTTTCTTTTTTTTTTTTTTTTTTTTTTTTAATATATGCTTATTTATCGTTCCCTTGGTTGCATTTTTGTTGTTGTCAGATGTTGAAGGCGGCTGTGATTCATTCCTGTCCCCTAGATAAGACTTTGGTCAGTCTGATTTCATGCTTGACATTTTTACGTGTTAGATAACTCTGAATCACTTGCAGATTCACATTCTGTAGTGTAGCTTGTCTACCTCCAGGTACACTACTAAATGTGAATCTGCAAGTGAGGTACCTGGAATCTTTGTGTTTGCAGCATTGAGTTGGTTCAGGCATTTGATCTGTCATAGTGTAAGGCAGTATGTAAGTGACCCTCTGAATCAAGTTCACTTGTGAGAGGGGGAGGGCTGCAGAGGCAAGCCCTTAGTCACTCCATCAAGGCATAAAGTCCTTGTCTATATGATACTTGTACCTACAAAAGGAGTTTTCAGATACATTCCTCAGCCTATTTTACAAAATTGGAAGAAATTAGACACCTGCTCCTTATATTAAAGAACTCCTGATGGCATTTTTCAACCAAGGAGGGAGAGGAGGCATTGACAGTCAAGGTATGCCTGATTCGATGAGTGAGAAAAACTAATATAATGCTGTTTTATTTATACAAGATGCTAGCAGTAGTTATTCAACATGCAAAATATAATGACTGAGTCGTCATTTTCTGTAGTGTGGTAAAGATTAAATTTTTATGCAGAAAATGTCATGTACAAATTGCATCTCAGTTAAAATTAAAATGAATTACTTGATTTCAGTAATACTGAAAAAGACATATATGTCATTCTGCATACTTAAAAAAAAGTTTGCAGGAAGATGCATTATTTTGTCAAGCATGTGTTAGTTTATAGCTTTATAATGAGAGAAAAGTGAGCATAGATGTCGTTATATAGCTTTATTTAAAATTTGAGATTATTTTTACAGTATCAGATATTGTTCCTGTGTTAGAACTGCATGCAATTGTAACAAATCTAACAGTGATGCATGCCTTGTTATCTTTGCGCACACAGCTAAGTATGCATGAAGTGAGAAGACACACTTAGCATGTTTTTGTTTTCTACTTGGGTTTTTTTGGTTGCTATTTCGCATACAAATGATTAATTTCTATAGATATTTATGCTGCTGTTCTTTATTAGAGTGTAAATTCCAGTAACACTGAAAATAAGTTAGAGCAACTCAGATGCCTTGAATTTCAGCTTGTACCTGTCACTTCTCTCCTGAGCCTTCCAAAGGCAATTGCAGTCTGAATCTGCTGTTTAGAATGAATGCTTCCCTGTAGCAGATTGCTACTGATTATTTAGTTTAACAGGATAGCTCAGTGACTTCCCAAGTATAGTCTGTATTTTCTTTACCTGCTACAAACCTTTTCTGGTTTTATATTCTTGTCGTCCTAGAAAGAATTGTTCTGCACATGTGGTATCTCACATTCCCCTTCCCTGGTTACTCTAGGACTTTGGAAATTATTGCCAATGAAATAATGATTTTCAGCTTGGCTGAAGAGGCAGTAATGCACATGTGCTACTTGAATGTGTAAAAAGCAGTGTTCTCGTTTCACATTTTAAACAACTAATTGAAATGTTTTGCAGAGTTTAGAGTTAATATATTATGAATACAGTTTTGTGAACTTTCTTGACTTCAGTATATTAGTAAATTCTCATTTCTGCAAATGAGATTATGATGTTTAACACTTGATTTTTTAAAACTTTGTGTGAAAGTTTTCGGTGGTTGTATGGAAAAGCAAATTCTCAAACAGAGGAAAAACTACCTGTTTAACATTTGAATCCTCTTTTTCATATTGAAACAGTATTGGTGACATCATTGAGCACTATAGAAAAGAACAGATTGTTGAAGGATATTACCTTAAAGATCCTGTTCCAACGCAGGTAAGATTTCATCTCTGGGCATTTGTTGTTGAAGACACAAACTTAATTCATTATCTTCAAGGCAGTTTATGAACTGAATTACAGCAATTGTAGTTAAATAGCATCATCTCCAGTTTTAACGTTTTCAGCTTGTGTATTTCTTTTGGTTTGTCCTCAAGTGCATTCACTTACCAAAGATTGTCTTGTAGTCAACAGAAGAGATGGTAGGCTTTTCCTGTCTTCTGAGGTGCTCATCCTCTGCAGTGTGCCACTAGCTCTGGTCCCTGGCTCAACCATGCTGCACTTTAGTCCCATGTTAGGGGAAACAGGCTGCTCTCCTGTCTTCTGTGTCCGGGATTTTTCTTCTGCCAGAGGAAACTTGTATGCACACAAAAGCTTCAGGGGTGACTGCAAGGCTTGTTCTGGAGCGCTCATATCCCAGAGCAGAAGTTCATCCTAGGAGGCTACCAATGATAATATTTTTATATACATATGTATGTATATATAAGTACAAAGTATACCTGTATATTTTGTTCTTTCCCCAAACTTTCCTGTTTCAGTGATTAGAAATGGGAAATGTTAGAATGGCCTTTAATTTCCTCCCTAAATAGAGTTACAGTCAGTTCATACTGCTTTGTGAGATCTGTCATATTAATACAAGAATATTTATTGTATTGTCCCTTAGTCAGCTCAATAAGCTAAGCATACCAAAGCTGATCCTGTCCCTTTGTAATGTTCTTGTAGTTGTCCTACTGCCACCAGTTTAGGTTCGAGTTTGCCTTTCTTGAATGTGGTAGGCAAGAACAGTTTTAGAGTACCATTACCATGGGTAATTCCCTTTTCTCTGTCATTTCTGTGGTGACTTGATCCTGGCAAGTAGCTAAGGACCCACATCTTTACCTGCTCCCTCTCCTCTCCTGCAGGCAAAAGCAAAGAACTCCTGGGTTGAAATTAATGCAGTTTAATAAGTGAAGGAAGGAAGGGGTGGTAGTGGTGATCATTCACCACCTCCCACAAGCAGACTGATGCTCAGCCAGTCTCGGAGGAAGACAGTCACACACAGAGTTTTATTGCTTATTGTGATGCTTTATGACAAGGAATATCCCTTGGATCAGTTGGCATCAGCTGTCCTGGCTCTGTCTGCTCCCAGCATCTTGTTATTCTAATCTTTCCTGTACTGCTAATTGTGTTGTGTCATCAGTACTTCCCACTTATTAACTGCTGTTAACTTGCACTTGGAAATGTGGCTGGGCAAACATGAATCCTGAGACTGCTCCTTGAAAATCTTCACTAGTAACTTTTCTCGTGCACTATCATTCCTCTTGAATCATGGCAGTGATATATTTCACTTTAGCTTTTTGCATATGCACTTACAATTCCTGTATTACTGACCTCTGCATTAGCTAATTTTCCATGTGAAATTACTTCAGATTCTTTTAACCTATTCAGATGTATTTGTAACTTTTTTGTAAAAAAATTTAGTGGTTGGCAGTGCAATTTGTGTTCAGCTTTGTGTTATCTCATTTCCACATGCCACCATGATCTATGCTTTTGAAGGGAAAAAAAACAAACACAAAAGTCTTGCTATACCTTTAATGTCAGTCTGGTTGACTTCTATCTAATATGGAATTTACTTCTAAATACTTGCCTCTAGATCTGTTGTTTTGTGCACTGTTCCTTGTGTAGTTATGTTATGGAGATTATCTTGAGCTCATGAACATCTGAATGTTGCTTCTATTATAGGTTCTGTAATTCCTGCTAGTATTACCGAAGTATTTTTCATCTTATTTTTGTCATGTTGTTCAAAATCATAATTCCTGTAGACAAAAAGACAGGAAGAAAAGTAGAATATTTAGTATAAGCCTGTTCATCATGATGATGTTCTCACTGCTTGACAGTCTTGCTTTTCATTTTTTCTTACGGCTAAAGAACTTTTGCTCATCAGCTTAATCAGTGAGGTCAAACTTGGCTTTTGACCATTCTTATTTGCTGCTTGAGTTTCCAGATCCTGTAATTTTCTGTGTGAATTTACCCTTTTTTTGTTTCCTGTTTCTGCTTTCTTCTCTTGTCTTGGGTTCTACTCAATTAGGACATTACTAGTTCTAATGAGGTTAATGAGGGACTGTGCAATATTGAATGAGTTGCTTTTAATTGTGATCTGCAACATCCTTGTTGCTTCAGAGTTTATCCATGATTACTCAGTCCCAAAAGCTTTGGTAGAAGACAGTTGGAAGCTAAATAAACCTTAAAGGTTGCCATAAATGTAAGAGAAATGACAGTGAAAGATGCTGCTTTTTATTTAATATGAAAAGGACACAATGTTTCGTTGTAGAAGTTGGTCTGTATTCAGAACTTTCTTCTTCTATCATAATTGTGGAAATATGGAAATAGTTACATTTCTAGCATGAAAAATTATATTGCTGTATTAAAATGCATGAGAGAACAATAGTAGTGAGTTAGTAGCATTCAGTAAGATGATCCTGGTTGCAGCTACGTAGTATGCAATTTCTTCTGAGCTTAAAGTATGTTTTTCTTACATGTTTACCAGCACCAAGAACAAGTGCTTAATGATACAGTGGATGGAAAAGAAATCTACAATACAATTCGTCGGAAAACAAAGGATGCCTTTTATAAAAATATTGTCAAAAAAGGTTATCTTCTGAAAAAAAGTGAGTTATGTTTACTTCTACAGATTTTTATTTTTTTTTCTCTAAAATGCAGATATGGTTTGTAGAATATCTCAAGTTGGAAGGGACCCATAAGGATCATCAGCTAAAATATTATAAAGCTGCACATTTGTTGGAGAGCGCAGCTGGTTAAATTTTGTTATTCCAAGTTATATGTTTTAGATCTTAAATTTAAAATATATATTCTGCTATAGCAACTTTTTTAGGATTCTAACATTGACACAGTTGACATAAATAAGTGAAAAGCTGACTGACTCATCTCAATGTAATCCTGAAGAACTGCCACTGAGCAAGTCTTTGGTGTTCTGAGAGTAAGGAATCAAATAGGAATTAATTGAAAACCTTTAGCTAAAAGTGATGATGAGATACTTTAAATGTGCAAACTGGAGTGCTGAGGAGGTGTAGATAGATGCACATAGAACTGCATACAGAACAAATTCAATAAAATCACTCCGGCATCTAGGAGACAGGGTAATAAGTGGATATCAGATTTGTCTTTTCAAAACAGTGCCAGTACTCACTTCTTGAGGCACAAGGTGTATTTATGGTGACCAAAGTATAAAATTAAGGCTAAAAGCTTTTTTGAAATGGGATTGTGACTTAGCACATTAGTTGCAGAAGGTATCTAATCCACTGTAGTTTAGAAACCATTTTCTCTGAAACTAGTGAAACCAGCCAAATTATGTATGGTTTTGTCTGGGGCATGGTTCTAATTTATGTTTTCATATAACATATTCCCATTTCTGTTCTTCGGATGTGCTATTTTAAGGTACTGTGATGCAATCTGTTAAATACTGGTCAGAGTTAAGGAGTAACTTTGTCAGGACTCTGTATCTTAATTAAAACTGTAACTGCGTAGATGCAGTCTTAACACTCTAACTCGCTGTCAGGCAGCTCATATGCACTTGCTTAATACCATTGAAATTAGTGAAAATGTTTAGACAACCTTTTGCAACTCTACCTGCATCTGTGAAGAGGGTCTAGTTTTAGCCACATGTTGCATAAAATTGGGTATGTGTAATGATCCTGTAACTTAAGTGTGATTGCCTGTACATTGCTCTTCAGTTAATAATTTGACAAAACTTTACTGCCATCCTTTCTTCTTTCATTTATGAAACACACACTTTCTTTTAAACAATATCGTAACTTAATTTGCTTAACTGTCTTCTACAGGTAAAGGAAAGAGATGGAAAAACTTGTACTTTATATTAGAGGGAAATGATGCCCAGCTTATTTATTTTGAAAGTGAAAAACGAGCCACAAAACCCAAAGGACTAATAGACCTTAGCGTGTGTTCCGTCTATGGAGTACATGACAGTTTGTTTGGCAGGTAGGACACTTTTAATTCTCGTATGTGCAGTGGGAGAGTTGGCTGATAGTTTGAAGCATGTACAAGACATGGGCAGTATGTTGTTAGCAGGCAACTAGCCCGTTGTGGCTCTTGCTTCACACCAAGTCTGTAGTTCGTGTGAGTTGCCAGGACATATGTAGGCAGATGTAGTTGAAGAATAGTAACTTGTTTAACCTGGCACCTTGATTGCTAGCCAGTATATATAAACATCACTACTTATAGTTATAAATTTTAGAATTTAGTATTAAAGTTTTATTGTGAAATAAAATGTGATGATTCACGCTTTTTTGCACTGTAATTTTTGAATATTGAGAGCATTAATTGTTCCATGTTTCATTTTACAGACATGAGAGCTTATGAACTGGGAGTTTCATCCTTTTGAATCAGGAATTGACAAGATAAAGAGTTTTGTCAATTCAAAAAAACCCCTACATTCTTTTGATAGTATTCGAAAGCTAAGTTGGTTAGATGGAGTGTCTAAGGGCTTTTCTGTTTAAGAATAAATATTTATGTTAGATTAGACCAGCTCCGTGGTAAACTAGTTCATACAAACCAGCATCCCCAGAAGTTGTTTTTGCCGATGACCTGTATTCTGAGATAATTTTCACATCAAGGCTTATTGACTGTCATATTTTTATATTCAAAATATGCGAACTACAGGGGATGTTGTTATGAGCAAAGAAGTTGAGAATCAAAAGTATTTTAGATATCATTGTTAATTAAGAGGATACTTATGTGTTCATTGATAGTTATAAAAAACCCTCCACTATCTGTATTACATTGTCGTACTGAAGAAGTAAGTACACTTACTCCTACAAGTATTAGATGGAAGTTCTGGTTATCTTACAGATCTTAATATTTATTTAAAAATGGTACATAGTCAACCTCTAGTTATTTTTGTGAAAAAACTTCAAGACAAATGCTTAAAATCAGTAGCATTTCTTATGCTGCAAAGACTGGTGCTTTTGTTTGATCTCATCTGATGTTTTTTAATCTTTTCTAATAATTTTGAAAAATCTGTTAAACTAGTGAAATGAGGAGCATAAATAAAGAGTACCAGAACAGTAATGAAAATATTACTAATACTTTCCTTATGTAAATTGACAATTATGCAGGAGGTTTTGGTGTATATTGTAAACAAGGAACACTGACTCTTAACAGCTTTTAAGAAACACTGTGCTGTGGGTTAAAGTGTAGTTGGATGGTAAGTAGTACTAAACGTGGGTAGGAGGAGGTGCGTGGTTGCAGTAGCTTAGGAAGCTGTTAGTGAGGAAATGTAGCTGGAACAGAGTTCCCCTGGCATTTTAAGTAGCTGGTAGAAACTGCCTTTGCCTTCTTCTCCAAAGTACAGTGGAGCCTGCAGCTCTGCGTGCTGCTTTGGTGGCAGTGATTTAAGTAGCCCCCGATCTGCTCTCTGACATTTCGCCAGAGTGCTGTGTCAGCATTTCTCCAGGCAGTGAAATGGGTGGGGCAACAGAAACTCCTTTGCACATAAGTAGGATCCTCCATGTAACACTGCTTTTCAGAGAACTAAATTTCCTTGAGCGCATCACCTTGTGGAAGGTGATGAGCGAAGTGCACACTTTAAATACCTCGTAGTTTAGCAAAGCAAAACATTTTTTGTTAACTTTTTGGCAAATGAGTGGAGGTACACAAAACAGCAAAGGCACTAATGTAGCATTTGAGGTTGTAGAGGTTTGTCATATACATTTGGTGATTGGTATGTGATCCAATATACATTTTATTGGTTGTGAGAGCTGTGGGGCACATTCAGGTAGGGGATTCCTTATATTAATGTATTTCCTGAAAGAACACATCCTTAATATATGATTAATTGGTTGGAAACTAATGGCGAACATCTACTGCTTTTAAAGCCTGTAGGAATAGTTCTTGTCAGCAAGTCTTCTCCATTACTGGACAGCTGTTCTTTGCCTTGACTGCAAATCAGCACATGTCTGTTCAGTACAGACCATTCTGAAAGTTTCTTGATCTTCTGAAACAAACTAGCTGCACTGAAGTGTGGTATTCTTAAAATGACATAATACATTCAAACCCAAATGCAGTTTTGGAGGACCTAAGACTTATTTTTAGTTGAAGTTCTTCCTCCTTTCACATGTGATGATGCTACATGTACATAAACAGAGGTTGATGCTTCTTACAGCCAAACATCAGAAATGTATTCATTCTGTGTAAACTTTGTTATGGCATAGATCAACAAGTCAAGGTGTCAGTTAATATTATGAAGATTAATAAAACTTACATTTTTTGTTTTGTTTATTTTTAAGGCCAAACTGTTTTCAGATAGTAGTTCAGCACTTTAGTGAAGAGCATTACATCTTTTACTTTGCAGGCGAAACTCCAGAACAAGCACAGGTGAGAGCTTTTGTTGGTAAATATAATTTAAGAAGTAATTTTTCTTTTGTCTTCTGGTGTTTAATGATATTTCACTTTGAAAACAGGAAGCAAGTGTGTATCAAATAGTGTCTATGTCTATATTAGCAGGTATTATAATGTAGTGGATCTGTAAGGGCAAGGGTTGATGTTGGGAATCCAGCACTTAGGTTACATGCACTTGGGGGTTATAGTTTGGGCAAGGTCCAGTTGGGTCTCATGGACTAAACTTGCATTATTTTCCGTTAAATGTTTCTGGACAACATATTCTTTTGACTTACCTCAGATAGAATAATTTAGTCTCCAGGACTTTTCCATGTTATAAACTGGAACATGGTAAGTGGAAGTTTTCCTTCAAAGTGCGTGTTCTTGATATGCACCAAAATGCTAATGCACTTACGTTGTATCCGGTGACCAAAGTATGTCTGTCAGCTGCCTTATCCAGTTATTTGCCCTGTCCAAAAACTGGTGGTTGTTTGTAGTCCTGGGCCCTGATGGTGCACAAAAAAGTAAGGTTTTCTGGTTTAATTCAGTGACTAACTCTAGCGGTTGTTTGCTGACTGAGGATTGTAGCACAGAAGCCTTATTCTCTTAAATTCAGTCACCAGCAGGAGAGCATACCTCTGATGAGAGAATGTCCTTACTTACTAAGTTTACAGCTCTGAAAGTCCACAGCTCTGAAGTATACCTGTTGCATCAAAGTCAAGCTTTGCATTTGGTTTTATTAGAATGGAATGAAAGTTGTTTAGAGCACTCACAATAACTTGCTACCCACCAGAGCACAGAGGCTGTATAAGTTTAGTATTCTTGTGCTGTGTATAAAGGAAAGCACAAATCTTCCCGTTAAATGAATACAAATTTATGAAACTTGCTGAGATGACATCAAGTGTAGTTGCACAACCCTTAATGTACTGTATTTAAGCAGAAGGGCACTGTATAGTAATTGAGAATATATACATCAATTACCACACACATCTTTGTACACTCATTTTTGTCACATCTTCATTGTCTTTGGTGTTCTGGAAATCCAAAAAATTAAGAATGCATGGAAGACACAATAGTGTGTCTTGCTTCCTGAACATCTGCCATAATCTGCTTTTGGTTTTGATCTGCTTAACAGGATGTTCACTGCATTTATACAGAATATAGTTTGTTTTTTGGGGGGTTTTGTTTGTTTTATTTTGGTTGGTTGGTTGGTTGTTTTTTTACAATATGCCTTCGACCCAGGAAAGTTTATAGATATTTCTCGTTTGACAAAGTTCACCTTTTTTTTACTCTGAAGAGTTTTATTTGTGTATTAAGGTTCTTATACTGGAGTAAATGAATGTCAGAGCAGCACCATCCTATGTACTGCATCTTGTCTTCATGCTCTGTATGAAATGAAATAGTGTTGCTTTAGTTTGTTGGAAGTATACACAATATAATGACTGTCTTATAGAAGTACTGTAGAGAATAATCAGAACAGTTTGCCTTGCTAACCTTAATTTTCTCAGGAGCAAACAAGTTTTGCTTCATTTTTTATACCATTTGTAATTTCTCGTAATGTTACTAGAGTGGAAAATTGGTAAAGGTCACACTGTATATCCATTAGTAATGCTTGATATTTCTGAAAGAGAAAATGGTTCAGATTTGCAAATCCCTTATTAGTTTTTTCTCACTGAAAGTAAGAATTTTGCTTTAATATTCAAACTTGCAAACTTTGGAATTACAGAAAACAGGTTCTGCCAAGCTAAAGGGAAAATTTAGTATACTCTTTTTAGATACATCTGTTCCACTGCAAGAAGCTGTATCTGACTCTGTTTCATTACACTGTTCTGCATCCTTCTCTCTTAGGACTGGATGAAAGCTCTGCAGATGTTCTGCAGTTTAAGAAAAACCAGTCCAGGAACATCAAATAAACGTCTGCGTCAGGTAAAGCTGATACTATGGGGCTTGCCGTGCATGTGATGGAGTGTCTCCTTGTTGCAAAATTGTACTGATAGCTCTCCGAATTTTCCTTTCAGCAGTAGAAAATCCTGCATATACTTAGTTTCCTTTTTGGACCTATGCAATGCCCTTGTGAAACCAATCAGACTGATTTACACTACATACATACAGCTCAGAATGGTGTTAGTCAATCTGATGTGCTTTGCTAGGTATTATTTTCTGACTAAATTGGAATAAAAGTGTGAAGAAGTCAACATTTGTATCATCTTAACTTTTAAAATATTTTTTTAAATATTAAAATATTAAATAAAAAATATTAAAAATTATTTCCACATATGGAACACTTTAAAAAATTTGACACTTATGTGACATATAACTAATTCTGTTAATTTTCAGTAACAAATACATGGTGAACCATGCTTATGGCTTAATTTTTCTTGTATTCTTCAAAGTGCTGTGTTTGCCAGAAGTTCCTCAGAGGTAGAGGACAGTCAGTCGTAAATGGTGACATCTGTAACGACTGGAGAATAACAGGAAAATAACTCGAGAATTCCTGATACTTTTGAATGTTAGGAACATTGAATGTAGTTGTTTTAACAGACATCAGAGAGAAGAATAAAATTGTTTTTTTTTCAGAACACACAACTATTCTGTAGTTAGTATTAGAGATGTTTGGATATTTCTGTATAAATGAACTAAATTAGGTCAATTTGATGAAGTGGCAGGAGAAACTGGGTTCAAGCTGCAAAAGCAAAGCAGAAAGAGTGAAAATCTGAAATAATCCCTTAGTTCAAAAAGTGAAGAAAATGCTCAGCTAGGCAAAGGAATAGAGTGTAATGTGTTGCACAAGGTAATTCTATGTAATCTGTTAGGAAAGCAGCAAATAAGCCACTGTGTTTGGAATCATCCTTGGCTTTTATTCAAGGTGCCCATCTTTGATTTCAGTAAAGTTTTCTGTGCAGAGAAGGTGCATGTCCTAATGGCTCAAAGATAAATTTAAAAAAAGAAAACAAGATGCTTAAAAATACAAGGCTTGAGATTTTTTTTTGCTAAGTATTTGAGTTACTCTTTGTTTTGTCACCTGTGTCTCTTAAAATGTTGTTCCATTACTTACGTTACTTGCTGCTCTGAGTAGGAAATTCTAGTTTGTATTCAGTATTCATATATTAACATTAAGCCTTTGCACAGAGGATAAGAAGTCATTCATTCATGTGTTTCATATTTCTGGTTTAGCCACAAAAAGTAGATTTTGTGTATTTCTATTTTTTTTTTTCCCCACCCCCCCAGGTCAGCAGTCTTATTCTGCATGTAGAAGAAGCTCATACGCTCCCAGTAAAGCATTTTACTAATCCATACTGTAACATCTACCTGAACAGTGTCCAGGTAGCCAAAACACACATCAGGGAAGGGCAGAACCCTGTGTGGTCAGAAGAATTTGTCTTTGAGTAAGTCTTAATCTTCTTGAATTACTGAATTTCACTTGTTAATTGCATTGCATTCAAGATTTTTAACAGTGTGTACTGGTTTTACATATCCTTTTTAAACATATCGTATGTGTGTTTATACAGCAGCAATGTTTCAGCCAAATTCTGCATGGACAGAATTTTCTGTAGGCACCTAAATATGTCTTCGGCAGGATTGAAATGAGTTTAGAGTAAGCTTAAATGCCAGCCAAATACTATATTAATTGAGGCTTTTTGTCTTTTCTCCTAGCGATCTTTCAGCTGATATTAATAGATTTGAGATAAGTCTTAGTAACAAAACAAAGAAAAGTAAAGATCCAGATATATGTAAGTATTTTTTCTGTAAAAGATGCATATGTATTGCAGCAGTGGATACTTGATGTGGTTTTCATTATTCTGGTCAAACACTGTCACAAGAGAATTAAATATATTTTCATGCTCTGTATTTGTATGTTTTGGCTGTCTGGTACTGGCTTTCCATAATGTTTTTTACAATGAGAACCTGCAATGTTTTTAGTAATAAACTCAGGTTTACAATCTTAAGTTGTCTTTCATAGTTTTATAAATATAGTAAGGAGTAACAAAGTGGTCAAGGAGCAGACCTGATGGTGGTATCAGCCCAAGGCTGGTAAGAGAGAATTATGAACACATGATCTGTTTTTAGTTTCTGACTGCTACCTGGATTTGCAGGGTAGCACTTTTTCACTCACTGCTTGGGTGTTACAAAGAAAACCGTGTCAGTACCTGTGTGGCATTTTTTAATGTATATGTATTCATTCACTACAGAATGCTTGGCATTCAGTTTAAATGGTTGGTTAAACCATTGAAGAGAGAATCTGTCAATATATTGATGGCAAAAATCTTCATTACTCTCATTAACACTCTCTTGCTGAAACAAGATGACATGTGCTGAAAATAAACTGGTTCTTTATTCAATAGTAGGACTGTTTCGCTGGAGATAACATACTTGAACAATGCTTTCTTTCCTTAAGTGTTTATGCGTTGCCAATTAAGCCGATTACAAAAAGGACATGCAACAGATGAGTGGTTTCAGCTCAGTTCCCATGTACCATTAAAGGGTATTGAGCCAGGATCTTTGCGTGTTCGAGCACGATACTCTATGGAGAAGATCATGCCAGAAGAGGAGTACAATGAGTTTAAAGAGGTATGAAGTTGTTCAACTTCCCTTGTTGTATCTGTCAAAACTCAGTTTGTTGGTTTAGACAAATACCAAATGACACTGGTTAACATCACTAAACGATATTTAAAGTGACATCTATATATCACTTACAGATGTATTATACTAGCCTTTCCAAAGCTGTTACATGTTAGGAGAAGCTTCTGAATATTTTGCAATTCTGTTTTTCTTTCAGCTTATACTCCAGAAGGAACTTCATGTAGTCTATGCCTTATCACACGTTTGTGGACAGGATAGAACACTGTTGGCTGGCATTTTATTGAAGATTTTTCTTCATGAAAAGCTTGAGTCATTGTTGTTACGGACGCTGAATGACAGGGAGATAAGCATGGAAGGTACTGCACTAAATTGCACTGCTGTTTAGTGGAGCTCTAGGCAGGTGGGGAGGGAAGAGTTCCAGCACCTACATTTTTTTCCTCTTCCTTTAGTTACAACATACATCAGAGTGTAAATATAGCACATTTTTCCTCTGCTTTTTGTTGTTTGCTCCTCTCAACTTTGCTGTCTCTTCATCCAGATGAAGCTACTACCTTGTTTCGTGCCACAACATTAGCAAGTACACTTATGGAGCAGTACATGAAAGCCACAGCAACAACTTTTGTTCACCATGCACTGAAAGATTCTATATTGAAGATAATGGAGAGCAAGCAGTCCTGTGAGGTGATACTTTGAACTAATTTTTAAAACTTTTTGGTTTGCTGACACAATTATCTACTGGTTATGTTTGGCATTTGCATTAAATTCTAGCTTCAAAGACATTATTGTTTCAGAACTTAAACTCTTTATATGAGAAATACAGGAAATGGATTCATTAAGAGATTTATTTTTTTCCTAGATTTTGGCTTTGAAGAATATTCATAGTAAAACTTTTCAAGTTTTTTAATTATTTATTTATCTTTAGAAATTGTAGGCTGTTCTGTAGCAGTTACTGAATGTCCTGGCCTAAGTAACTTCTAGTAAACTAAAGATACCATAGAAGTCAATGTCTGAACTTTAGTTTTAATTTAAAACTTCCTGATATTAAATGATTGATGTTCGTTCTGAAGTGGTTTTTAAAATAACTTTCCTAATTTCTATATATCACTTTAACTGTGGAAATGATGGGAGATCATGCTGATTGATAGGAGTGAATACATGAACTGTTAAAAACTTAGTGTATTAGAACTTAAAACAATTGCTGCTTCATGTTTCCTGACTAGACATTGAAAGAGATTTGTGAGCTCTGTAAAAGGCTTGTACAGCAGCAGAATAATAAATTTACCTTGAAGCAGTATTCAGTGTGTACATTAAGAACCTATATATGTAGTTCTAGTTAGAGAAACATCATCTTTTTCTCTTTTTTGTTTTAGTTAAATCCATCAAAGTTAGAAAAAAATGAAGATGTAAACACTAACTTGGCACATCTACTTAGTATACTTTCAGAATTGGTGGAGAAAATATTCATGGCTGCAGAGATACTGCCTCCGTAAGTGTTTGAAAACTCCTGTTTGTGTGATCATGCTGTATCCTAAACTGATTTCCTTACTGGTTCATTTTCTGTTCCTGTGAGTTTAATGGAATGAGTAAGTAGCTTTTATTTTTGCAGGACATTGAGGTATATTTATGGGTGCCTACAGAAGTCTGTTCAAAACAAGTGGCCAGCTAATACCACCATGAGAACCAGAGTTGTTAGGTAAGTTACTTGTCACTTTGTCCTGAAAATAATCTTTTCAAGTCTTTTTGAAGACATACTTCAGCGTGCTTATCTATGTGTTTTTCAGTGACAAAACTGTACAGTACTTACTTAGCTTACAGCAGTCTTTAAGGTATTTACAGTGCTGAGGCATCATATCCCAATTAAGGATTATGACTGTGCCCTTCCCAGGGACTCCTACGTAGTGTGTGTTAATTGCTGGAGAAATCTGGCATGGTTTAAGATCCATGCAGACCCAACACAGTAAGGAGTTAGATACATTCTCACAAAGACAATTGGATTTCACCAAGGTGCTGTTAGCATTGGCATATGTAGTTTTCTGCATCAGAGAAGGCACCTGGTCACTGGTGGTGGGCTGCTGGTTCTTAATCACTCCAAATCAACATTCTGTGCTAGTTTCCAAAACCATTAATTGTGCTGTCACAGCTTAGTTTTATTTATCTGCTCCAGCCCAATTATGCTGAAACATTCCAGAGCTCTTCCAGAAATGTTGCAGGAGGTTACTGAACCTGGCTTCTCTGAACTCATACCAACCACAAAAAACTCCAGTGCAGATCCATAATACAGAAGTTCTTTCTCTAACTCTGTCCATTGCCAGTGCAGGTCAAACAAAAGCCTTTGACAAAGATATGGTCTTGACACTCTCTCTAAATGCTACCAGGTTTTTTAGGGGTGTCAGAGCCACTTCTTTGATTTTTTGTGGTGTCTGGCAGTCATATGATTTGCCATGGTTAATCTCATATGGAGAGAGTCTTTCAGAGGACTTGCCTTTGGCTTGCATTTATCATTTTGACACTGGAAGCCTTATGTCATCCATAATACAATGCAGGGGCATTATGGAGGCTGCTTTTACTGTGAGAGCCCTTCTCTGAGGGGCTGTAGAGCTTAGCTGTGAGTACCATATCTCTGTATGTTCCTCACCAGCTCCAGAGAGAACCATGTGGCTTTCCCTAGTGGACACAGCTCGCATGCAGGGTTGTCCAGAGGTCTCCCCTGATGCTGTAAATATGGGATCCCTTGGTCTTGTGATGTTAGTCTTCACAAGTGGTTACTAGTGATTTCTCTCTAGAGTACAGTTTCACAGCCTTCAGTCATGATCATTATCTTCTATTGCACTACTTCTGGTCCAAGAATGATTAAATATTCAGAGGCAGATGGACAGCAGCTTTCCAGTACCTAAAAGGGGGCTTATAAGAAAGATGAGGACAAACTTTTTAGCAGGGCCTATAGTGACAGGACAAGAGGTAATTATTTTTAATTAAAAAGGGTATATTTGGACTAGATATGACAAAGAAATTTTTTTACGAATAGGGTGGTGAGGCCCTGGCACAGGTTGTCCAGAGACCTTTTAAGATGCTTCATCCCTGGAAACATTCAAGGCCAGGTTGGATGGGGCTTGGAGCAACATGGTCTAGTTGAAGATGTCCCTGCTTATTGCAGGGGATGGGACTAGATGAGCTTCAAAGGTCCCTTCCAACCCATTCTGTGATTCTGTGACAGTTTTTAGATGTCTGATACCTTCCGTACTGTGTCAGTGCTATCATTTCTCTGGTCATAAACTCCCTTATAGATACTGACTTAATTTAGGCAGGTTGACCAGGGTAAGAAGCATCAGATCTTCTGTATCAGCGTGGTCCATGCTAGTTTCATACCTCACTGGCATTCAGCTTTGGGCATTTTACAAGAGAAATGGCTGTAAATGCCATGACTTCAAAATTAATTACTTCCTCATAGCTTGAAATTCACACCATACAAGGTATTTTAGCTTCACATATGGCCAAAACCTGCTGTCTTGGGAACTGATAGCCCAGAATTCATGGTTCTTGAAGTAAGAAATACCTAAACAGTATATATATTGGGTGTCTTGTACATAAGGAAGGTAAGTTAACCTCACTACTATGTGTGTCATTTTCACGTAATATGTACAGTACCATCAATGTGTACTTATCAGCAGTCCTCTTCCTTCTTTTGTAAGTGGTCTGGCTTTGGTACTGCCATAGTGAGAACCAGTCTACTGGCAGTGTCCAACCACTCCAAACCAAATGAAACATCATTGAAATAGCTTTAATTGGTCCTCATGTTGCTTCACTGTATAGCAGTTAGCCAGAATTGAAGTTAACCAGAGATGGATGTTTTTAATTTCTGCTATTAACAGAAAGTTATCTTTTTCTCATGCAGCTGAAGGCTGTTCTGGGTTTCTGTTAATGAGTTCCTAGTTCTGCCATCAAAACAGGGTGGTTTTTTTCCCAGCTTTCTAGATGGCAGCAATTATTTCATGGAGGAAGTAGCAGATCCCTTGCTATTTCTCTACACGAACACACAGTCATGAGGATATGGATCAACTTAAGCTGACATAAAGCTGTGTTGCCAGAAGAGAGGTTCCCTTTGCCCACTGGCTCCTACATTCCTCCATGCATTGGCTTGGGGAGCGGGTGCTGTGGGATGGATGCCTTGTGGTAGCAAACAATGGTAAACCTTTGGGAGGTCAGAGACCTAGACTCTTCTTTTTGAAGCTGGCGTGATCTGATACTGGCTTTACAATTAAGATCTTCCCATGTGGTTTCAACAGTTCACCTTAACTGGGAAATCTGCATGCCTATTTGTTCAGCTCTTACCATAGTTGAAGTCATAGCATGATAATTTAGCTTTAACTTTAATGTAAACGCAGACCACAGGCTGGTTATTTGGTGTCTGTCTCAAAAAGGTTCTATGCTAATTTGAATCCTTAAAGAATACCCAATTTTACATTAATTCTGTAATTTTACTGAACAAAATACAATTTTCTTCTAATTTCAGTGGCTTTGTTTTTCTTCGACTGATTTGTCCTGCTATCCTGAATCCAAGGATGTTTAATATCATCTCAGGTGACTATATGCTTCAGATTTTAATTCATACTTTATGTAGTAAGTATGAAATTACTGTAGTGTCTAATTTAGCAAAATACAAAGGTTTTTTGAATGCTGTGCCCAAAGTCAGGTTACTCACATCACTTGATTGACTTGTCTATAAGGCAGCCAATATATGCTTTTTACCCTTGTGGTTATCCCCAATATTGTTTTAATGTCCAGAAACACGCACTGTAGTATTTAATGATACAGTTCTGAGCGAAAGGCAAGCAATGTGCGGTATTTTCTAGCAGTGTGAAGAACGTGTGTAATCTTCAGATGTCACTGGCAATGCAATGCAATGCCAAAGTTAATGCTGGAGTTCAATGGATCTCTTAAATGAACACAATGTATAAAGTTGGAAATGCATCTGCGGAGCTTGGAATACATTTGAGCACCTAGAAAATTATGCTTGAATAACACCTGCCTCTCCTATGGAGACAGACTGAGAGAGCTGGGCTTGATCAGCCTGGAGAAGAGAAGGCTTCTTAAGGGGAGATCTGAGAGCAACTGCCAGTGCCTAAAGGGGCTACAAGAAACCTGGAGAGAGGCTTTGGACAAGGCCCTGTAGTGACAGGAGAATAGAGAATGGCTTTAACCTGCCAGAGGGGAGATTGAGATGAGCTCTTTGGCAGAAGTTCTTCCCTGTGAGGGTGGTGAGGCCCTGGCACAGGTTGCCCAGAGAAGCTGTGGCTGCCCCATCCCTGGCAGTGTTCAAGGCCAGGTTGGATGGGGCGTGGAGCAACCTGCTCCAGTGGAAGGTGTCCCTGCCTGTGCCAGGGGGTTGGAACTGGATGAGTTTTGAAGTCCCAATACAAACCAGTCTGCCATTTTATGTTCAAATGTGCTTAGATAGCTTCCAGCCAGTGGAGAAGTCTTTACATTGACTCATTAAGTACAGTCAATCTCAAATACAGAATCTTAAAGATGAGGCAGAGAGGTGGCATTTAGGACATGTGGGTTGTGCCGACCTGAGATGGTAACCTTGGTTGACTTAAAGGCCAAATACAGGAGAACTCCTGTGGGCTTGCCTAAGTGAATGTTCTGTGTAAAGTCTTGCTCTTTGATGTTCCCTTACTAGTGTGTATCTATAGTCATTCACTGAAACAGCAACAGGGAACGTTCCTGACTGCAGGACAAGTTCCAACAGAACTGTTTGATCTTCATGATAATGGTTCTTACTTCACCTCTTTCCAACACAACTTCATTTTACGTATACTCGTTCTGTATGTAACTATTACAGAAAATAAGCTATTCATATTGATGTATTTTTGTGCACATCACTAAAGCAGCATAAGTTGTACCTCACGAAGTGCAGTTCTGTTGTAATATTAAAAATATATTATTTATGAAAAGATGTGAATCGGGAAGAGCTTTACTTTCACATGACTGCTGTCAGTTTTAAATGGAATGACCAGTAACTTTCTGCTCTGTATTCCTGCCAGATTCTCCTTCCCCCACTGCTGCAAGAACACTGACGCTGGTCGCCAAGTCTGTGCAGAATTTAGCAAATCTGGTTGAATTTGGAGCTAAGGTGAGTATCGTTTTCACACAGCACAGCCGAGAACTGTTTCCAGTACATTTCAATGTTCCTGTGTAATGTGCAAAAATCTATTGCTATTTTCTCATGCAAAGTCTGACACATGGCCTGTTTGTCCTCATCAGCAAGGAGGCCTTGTTACGGCAATTTCTTCTGTCCTCTTGTCCTGGGTTCAGCTACAGCAGTC